ATAAAATATTTAAATATAATATAACAATAAAAAAATCCTTCAATATTATGATAATAACTGAGTAGACAATACTAATTACGACTACATTAATACACTGTAAAATTAACTTATTCATTACTTTATTTATTTATTACTTATCTTGCAATATTTTTCAGCCTTTTCCACTAAACGGATATTCCTTACGAAAAAATATGTGTAATAAATTTATATTTTATTTTTTATTTCTTTTTTATTTCTTTTTGTATTTTTGCTTTTTTTTTTTCTTTAAAAAGTTCGTGCTGTAATGTGGCAAGTTTTGTCAAAGGCAACCTTGAGTAGAAAGTTCTGTTAGATCATAATTTGTTATATAATTAATTTAATTGGCAAAAAGTGACAAGTTTTTTGTGACGAAAGAAGAAAAAATATGATTTTGGCTGTGCAAGGAAATTATGCAAAAATTTCCATAAAATATTTCATAAGAAAGTGGAGTTGAGGTGGGCAGGAGGCGGCCGGAGGCGGCAGGCAAAGTGGAGCAGTGCGTTGTGGTAATTAAAAAGTTGGCCAAAAAGGAATCCGTAGTCTGGAACCAGGGATCGTTGACAGCTCAAAGGACCGACCGACCGCCGAGCGATGACAGCAAGCAAAACTTTGCGATTGGGTCGGGAATTGGTTCTGGCTCCGGCTCTGGCTCCGGTTCTTACTCCGGCTCTGGCTCGACGAATTCAGGCAAAGTCAACCAAAGGCACAAAATGTTTACGAGTTCGCGCTGCAAAATAAGTTGAAAAAATTTGCAACTCGTTGCCAAGTTTGTCACCACAYAACAAATATAACAACAACAACAAAAATATATGTAGAAAAATAAGTGTAAAAAAAATACTTAAAAAATACTGATGCATAAAACATTGCGAAGGCCTTGGCTAACCGCAGACACCAACGAGCTGCGGTTGGGCTTCGGTTGGTCAGCGTTGCCACTAATGTTGTTGCTCTTGTTGTTGTTGTTGTTGTTGTTGTTAGTGTTAGTGTTGTTGCTGCTGCTCCTGGTCATTATTGATGCCTTTGGCGACAAACGCGCCAGCAGCGGAAATTGGAAAAGTTCTCGAAGGCATCTTACAGTTCAATTTAAAGCAAGAAGTTGAGCTAACTAAATATTAAAATAAAGAATGTAACTTAAAGAACTATTTCATATTATATTTAAAAAAAAAAAAAAAATCATACTGCATATTAATATAAATTTCATTTTCATTTACATATCACACATATTTCCATCATTATAAAAGCTTTTAAATTTACTTAACAAACATTTAAATTGTTTTAGTAATTTTTTAGTTTTGTTTAACATTTCTGCATTTCCTTAAAACTTCATGTTTCTTTAATCTAGTTGAAATTAATTCTGTTATTTATAAAAGTTGGTTTTCTTATTAATTATTATTTTCTTGGAGTGTACACTTTTCTTACAGTGTATAATTTACACTTCTGGCTTCATCCTTGTCTGATTGCATTTAGCTTTATATAAGAATTCCATGTGGAATTTCTTTTTCATAGTAGCCAAGATTTGAATGAGAGGGAGAGAGAGAGAAGGAAAGACAGTTAGTTTTTTCTTTAAAAAAAATCGAGTTTAATTCAATACTACTAAAAGTCGTACATTTATAAGCATATCAAGACATATCTACGACTACATATGTATGTGTGTCTATATTATATATGTATTATATATGTGTTTATCTAAATATACTTAAAAACCATATGGAACATATGTACATATGTATTTATGTACATGTCTCAGAAAGTGAACTTAGTAATTAGACTAGAAGCCATTAATAAATTATGAAAAAATACCTTAAAATTATACTCAGTTGTTTACCTATACTTATAAATATATATGCAATAATTTACATTCTTCATTTCATTAATAAAAAAAAAAATAGCAGTGATTTTTGCTAGCTTAAGAAAACAGCTGTTACAAGGAGAGGAGAGAGCCGCATAACCGTTTTGCTCTTATTCCAAAAAGCTTTGGCACTGCACTCTTCTGGTTTTCTTGGGACAATACACATAGGGGAAATGCGAAACGGTGAACCGTTTAACTAAGGGGCAGGCAACAATGAGGAGCAGACGCTGGCGATGTTATTTTTACTCCAATCAGAAATGCGTAACTGACGCGCATAGAACAATTCAAGCAACTCTAATTAGAGTGCAACAACGAGCGTTTTTTAATTTAAGAGATTCTAATTGGAATGCAGCAATGCACTTTTATATTATATTACTGTATAATTGGAATAATAGGGTTTATTGAAATAAATTTTGGCTGATATTGAAATAATAGAAAGTTGAAAAGAAATTATAGAAACTACTGAATGGAGTATGAAGCTGTACAAATGTCCAGCCCTACTATTTCCAATCAGAAGTATGTTAAATGATTGCAAAAAGCTGTCATAAAAAAGTTGTCAACTAGAATTGACAATATTGCAGATGGTCTATCAAAATACCAAATCTGCAATTACTTTCTGTTTTCCTCTAGTCAGAAAGGCTTTACAGTGTTTACTCCAATCAGAAAACAGTGAATTGCGCGCACAAAGCAATTTAATCAACTGTAATTAGTCTAAGCAACAATCCAAAATAGACAAAACATATAGATAAACTATTCTTCAGCTGTTGTCGGCGATGTCGCGGCGCAGCCAATCGAGCAGAGCATCTCGGGCGCATTCCGCATCGGCGCTGTAGCATTCCAGGGCGCTGATCTCGTCCAGCCAGTTGCCGATGATGTAGCGCTTGTTGCACGGCATCACGCCCATCGCACGGAGCGCCTTCAGGCAGTAGAGCTGCAGCCGGGCGTTCGTCCGGGTGTGCATGGCGCGTCCCACGTGGCAGATGAGCAGCGTGAATTCGCGCATGCGCCACAGGGCCCGCTTGCTATGGAGGCCGTTGAGCAGGGCGAGCACAATGTACTCGTAGCTGAGCACCGGCTGATCGTGCAGCTGCTGCTCAGCGGGAATGGACTTGTCCTCGAATATGTCGAAGATCATCTTGATGCCGTCGACCTCGTCGAACAGGCGCTGCCCCTCCGAGCAGCGCAGCAGCAGAGCGAATGCCTTGCAGTTCATCTCCCAGAACTTGGCCAGCCGATTGACGATGCGCGAGTGCAGCAGCTGGAACAGACCCAGCTGGATGCCCTGCTCCGGTGCCACCTCCAGCATGTGGCAGAGATGGTGCCACATGTCGGGCGGATACAGCGGCTTGCAGGGATCCTGCTTCAAGTAATTGGCAATGGAGGTCAAGTTCTCGGCATCCGACAGAACGATGCCCAGCACTGGAAGGGGAATATATTAAGGGATGGCCTGGAAATCCAATTGGATGCATTTACCCTTTGGCTTGCCCGTTAGATTGCGCAGTATCTCGGCGGCGAGATCTTCCTTGCGCGGTTCCATGTCCTTCAGAATTTTATAGAACTCAATCATTAAACATTTGCGATTCGCGATTTGCTCGGCGCCATTCAAATTGCGAGAAATTATGTCTGAGAAGAGGAAGAGAAAGAGAGAAAGCATAGAGTAGAGAAAAAGAGAGAAGAATGGAGTACCTACTAAAGATCTTCAAATATGTCTCAATCTCCTCAAAGTTCTCCGCGTGATACTTCAAACGTTTCCGCATAAATGCGTTCTTAAGTCTGCAAAAGAGAGAAGAGACTGAAGATGGATAGAAGGAGGGCAAGCTGGGCGGATGGGAAGATGGAAGAAGAGAATAGAGATAGGAAGAGTGGAATCAGGAATCCCATTATCTGTCGGATGGGAAAATGGGAAGACAAAACAAATTCTCGATTCTCGCTTTCAGCTTCTGTATTCCACTTTCAAGATGAGATGAGAAGATAGATAGAAACTTCCCTTCTTCTCCCCTATCCCCGTTTCCCGTTCCCCACTCACTTTCTAACGATATCCATCTCGAGTACAGCACGTTGCACATTTTGTGGATTGAGCAGAAATTCGGTCAGGGAAACAATGGCACGCCAATGGGTTAGATTGACATCGCTGTCGATCTCCTTCATCAGTTTGGGCAATGCAAAGTAGCCATAGGCCAGCTGAGCGCGATCAATGAAATAGGTGGAGCTCTTGGCGCATTGCTGTGGGAATCGGAGGCAGCAATCGCGCTTCTTTCTGAATTTATCCCATTCTGCATGAAGCATATTATTACTAAAATGGCTGAAATGCTGCAGCTGCTGGACTCTACCTGTGCTCTGCAGACAGTTGACGGTGCTGGACTTCATCACACCTTTCATTTCACGTTGCAGAAAATGATTTCGATATCTCTCCAGCTGTTCCCACATTTTGATTGTCAGTCAAATTAAGAAAAATAAGTATCGAATATAAAAAATAAGTTGTTCAGATTGTAATGATGTAAAGGGAAATATTTGA